GAGTATAAAATGATTTATTAAAAATGAACATATAGGAATTCTGGACGTATAACATAGTGACATGTTGCGGCTACCCTTTAAATGTTGTCGATTCTATGCAAACTGAAAGTTCGGAAACAGGTTTTCTACATAAATCTAACCAATATATTATTGGAGAGATATTAATATATTTATTATCACTTATAATCAGAGGGTCGATCTGCTCTTAATATTATTCTTGAGGGCAGTAATAGTGAACACTTGGATATGTTGAAGGGGGGAGTCATTCAAAAACTCTTAGAAGAAAAGTGGAAAACATTTGGACACGTAATTCAACAATTGATGTGCTTGATGATTTATTTTTAATTTTTTTCATTTCTAGCGATTATTTCTGAGAAGAATTTTTCAAACATTATTCCACTTATTAATTATAAGTATTGCTATATATTCGCGTCCATCGAAACAAGATTTGCCAATTTGTGAATCAAATGTCCAAAAAGTGGTCTGTATTGCAGTGCATTACAATATTTAAAGAAATTATTTTTAAAATGATTTTATATAATAGGTTAGAATAGCTGCTGAAATCATATCAATTGTTAGTTGTGGCCGATATATATTTACAAGTATTAAGGGATTTTTAAATAAGAAAAAATTAAATATAATAAAAAATCTGGTAAAATTATAAATATAAACAATTTGAAAGATAACTTGAATTAAACTTTAAAAAATTAATTTCATAATTGTACAGAATTCAAGTCTGCCTCAAATCATATTTCTGTCATCAAATATACTCATTGTTTTCTGTATCTTCTGTCGATTATTTGAGAGTTCATACCTCGAAGAAGTACTATTAATATTGGCACTGCCCTCAGCCTGGTTCATCTTAATGTTCTTTGCTGCGTATGCTCTCTCTCTCTCTCTCTCTCTCTCTCTCNATTTTATATTCAATTTTATTCTATTTATATTATTTAAGTTACTAAAATATTTTTAAAATATTAAATAGTAAAAGAATATAGTCTTAACATTATAAATGACATAATTTGTTCCTTTTCTTTCAGTTCTAATTTAATGTGTAAATATTTAAAAAACCAGGTAGTTGTGAAAATTATAGTTATTATTACCTTTTAGCTCAATCTTTTTAATCGCATAGACGTGTCCATCAGTTTTATCTTTAACTTTGTAAACGGTTCCAAAGCTACCTTGACCAATTGTATTTCTGGCATCCATTTTAAACTGACATAAATTTTATATTCAATTTTATTCTATTTATATTATTTAAGTTACTAAAATATTTTTAAAATATTAAATAGTAAAAGAATATAGTCTTAACATTATAAATGACATAATTTGTTCCTTTTCTTTCAGTTCTAATTTAATGTGTAAATATTTAAAAAACCAGGTAGTTGTGAAAATTATAGTTATTATTACCTTTTAGCTCAATCTTTTTAATCGCATAGACGTGTCCATCAGTTTTATCTTTAACTTTGTAAACGGTTCCAAAGCTACCTTGACCAATTGTATTTCTGGCATCCATTTTAAACTGACATAAATTTTATATTCAATTTTATTCTATTTATATTATTTAAGTTACTAAAATATTTTTAAAATATTAAATAGTAAAAGAATATAGTCTTAACATTATAAATGACATAATTTGTTCCTTTTCTTTCAGTTCTAATTTAATGTGTAAATATTTAAAAAACCAGGTAGTTGTGAAAATTATAGTTATTATTACCTTTTAGCTCAATCTTTTTAATCGCATAGACGTGTCCATCAGTTTTATCTTTAACTTTGTAAACGGTTCCAAAGCTACCTTGACCAATTGTATTTCTGGCATCCATTTTAAACTGACATAAATTTTATATTCAATTTTATTCTATTTATATTATTTAAGTTACTAAAATATTTTTAAAATATTAAATAGTAAAAGAATATAGTCTTAACATTATAAATGACATAATTTGTTCCTTTTCTTTCAGTTCTAATTTAATGTGTAAATATTTAAAAAACCAGGTAGTTGTGAAAATTATAGTTATTATTACCTTTTAGCTCAATCTTTTTAATCGCATAGACGTGTCCATCAGTTTTATCTTTAACTTTGTAAACGGTTCCAAAGCTACCTTGACCAATTGTATTTCTGGCATCCATTTTAAACTGACATAAATTTTATATTCAATTTTATTCTATTTATATTATTTAAGTTACTAAAATATTTTTAAAATATTAAATAGTAAAAGAATATAGTCTTAACATTATAAATGACATAATTTGTTCCTTTTCTTTCAGTTCTAATTTAATGTGTAAATATTTAAAAAACCAGGTAGTTGTGAAAATTATAGTTATTATTACCTTTTAGCTCAATCTTTTTAATCGCATAGACGTGTCCATCAGTTTTATCTTTAACTTTGTAAACGGTTCCAAAGCTACCTTGACCAATTGTATTTCTGGCATCCATTTTAAACTGACATAAATTTTATATTCAATTTTATTCTATTTATATTATTTAAGTTACTAAAATATTTTTAAAATATTAAATAGTAAAAGAATATAGTCTTAACATTATAAATGACATAATTTGTTCCTTTTCTTTCAGTTCTAATTTAATGTGTAAATATTTAAAAAACCAGGTAGTTGTGAAAATTATAGTTATTATTACCTTTTAGCTCAATCTTTTTAATCGCATAGACGTGTCCATCAGTTTTATCTTTAACTTTGTAAACGGTTCCAAAGCTACCTTGACCAATTGTATTTCTGGCATCCATTTTAAACTGACATAAATTTTATATTCAATTTTATTCTATTTACTTCCACGACTCGTAATAAGTGACAACAAATTCCGAACATACTGTTTTAAGGTTGGAAACTTCCTTTTTTAAACGTGATTGTTCCTTTTCTTTCAGTTCTAATTTAATGTGTAAATATTTAAAAAACCAGGTAGTTGTGAAAATTATAGTTATTATTACCTTTTAGCTCAATCTTTTTAATCGCATAGACGTGTCCATCAGTTTTATCTTTAACTTTGTAAACGGTTCCAAAGCTACCTTGACCAATTGTATTTCTGGCATCCATTTTAAACTGACATAAATTTTATATTCAATTTTATTCTATTTATATTATTTAAGTTACTAAAATATTTTTAAAATATTAAATAGTAAAAGAATATAGTCTTAACATTATAAATGACATAATATGTCAAAGTAATAAAAATGCTAATCATATCAATGCCAGAAATGTTGAGATTATAGCAAGATTCTTTAACATTTATGGTCTTAATATTATTAAGAGATGGGTTTCACCTTAAACTGAATTTATTTAAATACCAAGTCCGTCCACTAACAATTGTACAATAATGGCACCCAGACCATTAATATGATTTATAAATAAATTATATAAATTATGTTTTCATCAATCGGATATTATTCATTCATAATTAAATTCCATACATTAAAATCTTACCAAATGAACCAGTATTTTATTTCAGGGCCACGATACCATACTGTCTGCTATTATAGTATTTCGATTACATTCACAATAATATTCACTTATTATTAGTATTTCGATTACATTCACAATAATATTCACTTATTATTAGTATTTCGATTACATTCACAATAATATTCACTTATTATTAGTATTTCGATTACATTCACAATAATATTCTATTCCTCGACCTCTGTCTCTCCTAAAAATGCTGTCCGTATATAATCTTTGGTCAAATCTGGGGTATACTCGGCAACTATGAATCAATAAACAATTATTTATTTTTTTAAAAATGCATTATTATTTTAGATATTATGACCTCGGAACTTTATAAAGGTTCAAAAGTTGGTATATCACTATGTAGTTTAACCATGATATATAAAATGTTTACCGAGGGTTTGCGTTATGGAAAATCTAGAAAGATGAAAGGTCATTCAAATAAATATACACTGGTGAGATTAAGGATAATTTATCCTTATTATGATATTTAACAATAAATATTTTTAAATTTTTAGTGTGGTAAAATTACTATATTTTACATAATTGTCATGTTTATAGTGGTAGCATTTATTTTCATAGACCTTCACCAGGTATAAAAAATGTTTAAATCATAAAATAAAACTAATTATTAACATAAATAAATATCAAGGCAATATGGAAGTACGACGATAATATTGATCATGATTATTTTAACTGGACTAGCCCGGCGATCAATCAAAATTTTACTGCAAATAAAAAACTACAGAATATTCAAATGAATCTTCATTGCTATGGCAACAATGGTATACTTGATTTCAACCATGTTTATCCTATGAATTCTACCATGGTCACAATACCAGCGTCATGTTGCGGGCAATGGACAAGCGACGACTCATGGAAAAGGAGTGCAATATAACGGATATATTATATAAGCAAGGCTGTATAGGGAAGATAAAATCAAGCCTAATAAACTACCTTGTGACTATTAGTATGATTTCAATATTTTTAATATTGGCCGAGATTACACTTGTCATTTTTAATGTATGGAAACCAGATTGCAGTGATTTGGACTATGAAGAATGCACCAGAATATGTTGCAAACTTTGCACTAAGGATACAACTGAACATGATAGATTTAATAATTTTGTTCCGTATACCAGCATGGACAGCAATGATAATGAGCTATCTATTGAACAACAAAATCAACAAGATGTAATTTTAGTTGAAAATTATGTGACAGATGATGAGGGCAATAATGATATTAGCAGGGCAAAAGTACTAGAGGCTATGATTAGTGAAGGGGCATTTGGTACAGTATTTAGGGGAAAAGAACTTGCAACAGGGACAATGTTTGCCGTAAAACAGATTGATACAAAAGGTAATTAAGAATTATAACATAATGTCACCAACTTAATTAATTATTTCAAATTAAAATTAATAAACATATAGCATGGTAAATTATTAATATTTCATTCGGTAGGTTTGAATCACAAGGAAAGGAAAAATTAGAACGAGAAATAAAGACCCTGCTCATTGTCAGCTCACAATATGTTGTACAGTATTTTGACTATTGGCACGAATTTGACTGTATAAACATTCAGATGGAGTTGTGTTCCGATAGTCTGCGCGACATTTTGCAACTCAAACGCCACTTATTTAACCGCCAAATGGGACTCCCTTTGCGTGAATACGAGTACATTATTTCGTGCGAAATGTTTCG